ATATATATGTATATATATATATTGAACCACATTAATTCGCACCTATCCGTTGAGAGTTACGCTACACGATCTATCATCTTTTATTTGATTTATTCGTACCTATTGCGTGCATAGTACATCATAAGTAATTACAGTTCAGTTTAATTTTTAAATTTATATTGTTTTTTTTTTATATATTGTAACTGACCTTCGTTTCATTTTATTATTATCAATAAATTTGCAGTCAGTAAAAGATTATCAAGTAGTGTGTGTATATAAACAGGTCAAATGATTATTTGCAGTACGACATTTTTTCCTCGCTAATAATTTACCTGCGTGAACGAATTGACAATGTTTTTGAGATAGTATTGTGAACCCATGGCTTGTGCAAATTCAACAGTATCAGAGAGGTTTCCAAGACAAATATCAATATTTTAGTGTGTTTCTTGTAGCATGGAGATATCACTGTTAAGTTGTATTGTTAGCCATGATAAACATCTTGTTTTTGGTTGAAATTTGCCTAATAATATTTGCTAACATTGAACGTTGCCCTGTGCATGGGGTGTCTGCCAAGTTGTTACAACTATAACCTAAGGTAAAATCTGGAAAAACCTAAATAAATTTTAAATATTGAAATGAAATAAATTAGGTGAAGCTTTTTCGAAAACCTCCGCCTGCCAATATTATAAATACACCACAAGAATATAGGAATAAAAAAAAACTAATAAAATTATTTATTTTTATTACACCTTCCTTCGCTTTGAAATCCTCAAAAATAAGTAACCTATTTCTTCCTCAGTTATATAAATTAAAATCAATCATTTATCAATCCCATTACTACGGTGTGTACATTCATAAATAAAATTTTCAGTTTTATACCCCTCCCCTCGATGCTTTAGGCAACAACATTTTCTTACATAAGAATACAAAATTCTATTTTTTTTACCTCTCTGGGTCTTTAAAAAATAAGTTCGCTAAACAAGAATTAAACAAGCCTCGCCTTATAAACCTTCGAGGAAGAACGGAAACAAATTAGTTTTCATAGATTTGCACATTTTTTTACATAAATCTTTAAATTGGTTATCAGTCAATACATTAATTAATGTAGGATCGGTTTTACTAATTATGCGTTCGTTAATTGGCGAGTTTTTCACAATTTAATTTAAATTTAAATCTAACAACAAAACACAGAATCTAATCGCCTAAATCTATTTAGGTATATTAATTTAAAAAAATGATTGTTGTTTAATATTTAATATCAATTTAAATTAATATTTAATATCCATTTAAATTGATATTTAATATTAAGATAATTGAACTTTTTATAATTATGATAATCATTGTAATTCTTAGTTTATTATTATTATTATTATTATTAGTTTATAAAGATTAATTGATGTCTGTTAAACTATTTCAGGAATATCATTCCTTGAAAAGAGGTCGAGGTTCAGAAAGTTTGGTTTCAATATGCAAATTATGCACCGGAGTCAATTCAATAGGTAAGAAATTGAAATAAATATAATTATGATAAAATGTTTCTGAAAATTTATTATAAAGAAATAAGTTGCCAGATTAAAAAAAATCAATAAAAGGAGGTCGCGGTTCACCAAGTTTAGTTTCAATATGCAAATTATGCACAAGGTAAAATTCAATAGGTACCGCACTGAGAAATTGAAATACAAATAGTTATTATGATAAAATGTTTGTGAAAATTTATTTTAAAGAAATAAGTTGCCAGATTAAAAAAAAATAAATGAATGACATTTAAAGACAAATTAGTAACATAACAAATTTGATCTTTAAGGAGAGTTAATTATAAAGGGATTGTTTCATCCGAAACTGATATTTCTAACAGATATAGAGGGCGCCAGAATTTGATCGTGTCGTAGGTCAAATGCAACATGTGTATGGCTGCCACGAATGTTTTACTGAGCTAAAAGTTAGCTAAATTACTGGGTTTTCGAACCATCACTGATGTTTTTTATCACTGTCTGATGATTAAGGTACGTTTCTAGAATTGTTTAGTGATGTTTGTTTTATATGACATATGGTAGTTTTAAAGAAATTAATGATGTTCTAGTGTAGCGTCTTGAACGCTTTGTTACCTATGAATGCTTTGTGTGCGTTGCTGGTCACGCTGTGGTCAGCGTCTCTATTGAATGCTTTTTACTGACGCTACTGTCAATGATGATACAGTGCGATTGGTACTGTACAATTTTATATGTGATTAAGTATTTAATATTACCTATGATTTCTATGGTAGAAAGATGAGAATACTGTAATGTAGTTATATTTACTGTCAATATTATATTTATTGTTGATATTATGTGCTTAAGAAATATTATGAGTCTTAGAATTTAATGAAACAGACCATTTGCTAAGAGACTTCACTTAGCCCTTTGTCATCAGGATTTATGAATATTCATGAGCTTAAGCTATAATAGTGTTATCAGATGTTGTTCTTAAGAGGGTAATTAATTGGCTTGGATAGTACACTATGCAGTGTATTGTGTTGAGTGTTTTCTTTGTTGATTGGTAGACAACATGGTTAGAATTAATTTGCCATTGATTTCAGAATGAACTGTTATACTGTACTGAACTATGATAGATACTCTACTGAATGAACTGTATGATTGTTGCTTAGTATCCGGTCACAGTAGTAAGTAATGTGCTTCAATGAACACAAAACTGTTAATTAATTTTTAAGGATTTAATTGAATGACATAAAGGGAATGCATTGGTTTTAATGGTTAATTATGTTGTATTGACTTGATGATAAATTAAGTAATGCTTGAATGCTGTAATTTTAGACGGTTTGACTTAATAATATGGTTAATGCTTAACTGTACAATAATAGGTAACATGCTTTTGATTTTCATGATTATAATTAAGATTAAAGAATATGATAAACTGTGTTAGACTTTAATGATTAATTGCTTAAAATGATTTTGTTAAACAGGTAGTTTTATGGTATAGATGATAGATTACTCAAAACTGCTTTATTCATTTCTTTAACAGAATTGAATGCTGATTTTTAATAAATCTCCATACTTTACGGTCGGATACGGTCTCAATCATTTGTTGTCTTCAAATCCTCTGGCCTTCCAGGGATACTGAAAAGTAGTTAATACAACATGTAGCATGTTTATATCAAGTGGGTAGCTATTTCATGTGACTATTTTTTTATCTTCCAGTTTTTAGTGTTCAAGCCTGATAATTTGTTTCAATAATTTAGTATTATATGTTATTTCTTGTGCAACATCTCCTGCATTTCCCAATTTTAGCTGCGAGATGCAGATAAGGATATGAAAACAAAATGAATATATTGAATGAATATATGTTTTAGGATTTTAAAGAAATGCAAAAGAAATATTGGCTGTTTTATAAAATAGAATGGGAAACTGATAAATCCTTAATGAATAAAGCTTTGAAATTAAAAGGTGGATATACAAAAAAAAATATTGAATGTGAAATAATGTTTAAAGAAAATTTAAAAATCGGCGATGAAATAATATGGTAATTTATAACTACAGAAGTCAAAAGAATGTTTTTATTAATTTTTTTTTTTTTATAGATTTCATAATTATATGTAGGAAAGGTTTGCATTATTTTTTTCTTTTAATAATGTCATTTGACTCATCGAATTGACCCTGGACCAAAAATCAAGTCAAAGAGCCACAGTGTTGTGGCTAAGGTTTCCAAATCCAGTGGTTGGAGTTTTTAGCTCTCAAACTGTAAAAGAGCTTATTCAAACAGTGTTCTCCAATGTGCATTTTAATTTCTCGACAGGGGCGTCCTGAACACTTGCAGGCAGGCAAAACAGATGTGAAATTTTATCCCTCTGTTTATATTTTGTAGTAAAGTTACTGCTGTATAAGATTCCTCTGAAACCGTGTTTGTAGATCTGGGGACAGTTGTGGCTCTAGAAATTTGCCAAGTAGGGCACATGTTACCGTTTAATTGGACAGGGATGGGTCCGGACGCTGCATGGAAGAGATTGAGTGATGGAAGGACTAATGTAATCTGTTTTATGTTGCAGGGGTTGTGGGCATTACTTGTAATGTCATGGCGCACTGTTGTTGACGCAACCCCAGGTCGTTTGTTCCAATAAAATATGAAATGAAATGAAATTGAATCATTATACAGTGTGCAATCTTCAATATTCACTTGACTAATACAGCTCCTATATTTTGTTTAGGTTGCGTTTGTTTGTTCTGGTGCAGAATCATCATCAACCTCTCAAGTGGACTTGACGGAAAAGGTAAAGGCATTTCCAAATATGGAAATAGATTCCAAATATTATAATTAATAATAACATAAGTCTTAAATAGGTTACTATGGTTTATTTTACGAGAATAAAGCTAGTAATCAATATGTATTGTTATTTCAGGAATTGTAGACTATGACGAGAATGCACAGGAGTCTGTGGGTGTATACGAAGTGGAATGGAGCTTCATCAAATTATAAATTTTAGTAAAAGAACAACGTAGCAAAATGAAACATTTTGTCAGCAAGAATTATGTATTATATAATGGCATTGGCTAAAGCTATTAAAACTTAATGTAAATAGAATGTTGTCCTGTATAACAATTTGTAGTAAAATAGAAAAAGATAACATTTAATGCTTTGATAAATAGATTAGAAAAAGAATACTGTACACAGCAAACACCACACAAAATCAATTCCTACTTTTTTTTTTGTAGTTACTTTTAGCTACCTTTGCGCGAATTCAACAGTTTTAATCATTACATTGTTTTTTTTTTTGTCACAACAGTAGGCCTATATTTTATTCAGTTTATACGCTGTTATATAATTTATCTTTTTAAAAGCAATTACATAATCATATTGGCCCATGGCATAGTCAAGTTTGGGGTCCATTGCATATTTGAGGACTCCTTGAAAATCAGCCATGCTGAGTGAGACTTCCTGTTTAAATATTAATAAAGAAAGAAAGATATCAGTAAAGTATTTTCGCACACGAAGTGATATAAATAGAGATAATTTTTAAAATTGAAAGGATTTATAATTATTATTAGACAATGTCAAAATATATCTTGTGAATATTTAACAGTAATCAACTTATATTTTGCACACAAATTTTTAATTTTAATATTTGCGTGCAACCATATAATTTAGGTCTATAAATGCATAAATCGTCATTTGCGTACGTATTTCATTAGCGTGCATACTAAGGTTACATGCTTAATCGTGAATGGATTGATTTAAGTTCCAATGAAACTGCCAATTATAAGGAAGCATTATGTGTATCCAGGGAGCCACTGATCCCCATCCCCTAAATATAGAAATGAAAAGAGAAAGTCCTGAAAGAGGGGAGCACGTTTACGTAGGTCTACTGCAAAACAAGCTTTTTCGATTAAATTCCTTCACTCATATAATTATAAGGTTAACTATAAAGTTCCATTCCGACATTTAAATAATGGACTCTGTTAACACTATGAAAATTACTTTACTCATAATAATTGCAGGCCTAGGACTTTTTGATCCCTTTTTCCTCGTGTCGTCTAATAATCTTGAAAATATCAATACAGTATAAACGTTTAACCAAATTTATTGATTGTTTTCATAAAGTGCCACAATACCATGAATTATATTGCTCTGAAACATGATGAGGCCAATCTGAATAATTGACCATTGTTCTTTACGGTCCACGATGGTGCTTATCATCCGAATATCCGAATTATTTGTAGGCCTATAATAGGCCTATACATTGTTTTAATTGATTTTTCCATGTTATGCATAATGTCTTTTACATCTATTTAATAATATGCCTACAATAATGTTTAATTTTTTATTGCCATATTTTAGAGTGGGTGGAGATGTAACCGACCGAGGCCTCATACATTTTTTGAAAATCATAAAAGAAAATGTACTGCATTGTCAAAAGCTTCGTATAACAGGCCTCTACAAAGTACACAGGTGTTGGTCAAAGCTTCATAGTAAAATGCTGGGTTTCGTACTAAAATCTGCCAAAGAGTGTGTTTGTGGGATTTTGGTCTATTTGGTTCTTTGAAAATATAGAAAAAGTTACCGTATTGTCAAGGTGTTACAGTAGAGTGCAGGGTAGTAGTTGTAGTAAGACTAAGAGGTGTCCCGTGACCTCCCCAGACCCATTTAGGCTGGGCCTAGAAACCATGATGTGATACGCCACAGTTAGGCTAGGTAGAAAAGTACTATGGGTAGTAGTAGGGGGGAGGGGGCTGGCTAGCTCTTTTGAGTGGGGTCCGAGGGTGTGACTCCAAGAGCTCACGGGCGTTACGCCACTGAAACCATTGATATAATAGGACTTGTACAGTATTCTGGTTAGGCCCCGCTAGGTCTGGCCCGTGCCAAAACAGTGACAAAAGAACGTGTTTGCCTGATAAGTTTTGCACAAGTTCAAAGTACATTGGATTGCGACAGTTTTATCAAAAACATAAACTCCGTTATCCGATGAATATTTTTTGTTTCACCATAGAATACCTGGGGCCAATTTAAGCTTCAGTTATTAATGCTAATATAATATCGCAAATACCCTCAAAAATTGAAATAGGCTATCTCATTTCAAATAAGTTATTAACTTCTAAATAGCCCCTAAACCTTTATTCAGAAAAACAGAAAATGGTAATTAAGCCCATTATTGGTTGAGTAACGTAATAAAGTATGGAATAGGACTAGCAGTTTTACAGCTTTTCTGGGTGTATTTATTTGCAATTCTTAGACAATATGTTGGGATCCAATTATGGAATAATGGATGTTCACTAAGTTTATAATATCAAACCTTTTAAATAGGTCAAATCTTCTATCAATCTAGCTATCAATCTGCAATCTATATGCCTGTAAAAGACTCGAAGTATGTATATGAGAGTTAAGGCGCACAGCATTTTTTCCTCGCTAATATTTTTCCTGCGTCATCGAATGTTTTGGAGATATTATTGTGCAAATTGTGCACAACAACATTGGGCAGATTTCCAATGCAAATATCAATACGGTAGTTCATTGTGTTTTGTTTTATCATGGAGGTATAAAGTTAAGTTTTATTGTGTTGTTGATAAGCATCTTGTTCTCAGTTAAAATTGGCCTAATAATATTTGCTACCATTAAACTTTGCCCTGTGCAAGATGTGTCTGCTAAGTTGTCACAATGTTATAACCATAAATAAATTGCATTAACATCGTAGAGAATCAAATGAGTTAGGCGAGACTTTATTTAAATAGGCCTACATTGATTAGCGAACTCTCCTCCCACCAACGATTGAAATTTTAAATAACATATAAAACGTTATTTTTGCCAATTAGCGCACCCCCCACCACAAAAATATGGAAAATTAAAAAATACTACAAAATTATTCATTTTTATTAGGCCTCAAAATAGGAAGCCTATATTGACTCCTTAGTTCTATAAATTAACTAAAGCATTTACTAATCAATCCCATTACTACACTCTTCTTCTTAAACAGAACTGGACTATTTACATTCCTCAATACAATTGCTTTTATTTTTCCCTTCCTCGATGCTTTAGGGCTTTAGGCAAAACCATTTTGTTCAACAAGAAAACAGAAGTTATTATTTTTCCGACCACATCTGAAAATAAGTTCGCTAAACAAGATATAAACATATCGCGCCTTATCAATTTGTAATTAAAAACAGATACGTGTTTACAGATTTACACAATTGCTTAAATATCAGCCAATTAAAGGGTCTATAATAATTTAGGGAAGGGTCTACTACTTAGGCATTCGTTAATTTCCATTTAATTTCTCAATTGAAATTAAATTGAACAACAAACTAGGCCTAAGCAATGGTTTAAGTATTACGTACCGAGGAACGTCAGGTATTTTACAATGTTACATTCTTCACTACTGAAGTTTGAACTACTGTAAATATGTGGAGCATACATCAAATTGACTGTTATGTTAATGCAGAGATAAATATGTTTCACTGTAATGCATAGTGCAGTAGAATATTTTCAGAGTTGAGGTGAAGAAGTGTCAGCTCATGAATGCAAATCGTGATGTGTCATTCAAGCTTACTGCTTTGTAACACACATGGGGAGCATTGACGGCGAGGTTGAGAAACAAATTCTGTTCTTATATTCAAATTGATCGATTTTCTCATTAG